ATCTCTAATGTATTTACAAAACGTTGACAAGTTAAAAAATATAAATTTAAAACATTTATTATTGTAACCAAATAATGTTAGTTTAAAACATTAATAGCTTTGTAGATGTGGCTCCAAGAATTAAAATAGTAGTTCGTTTGATAGGATATTCTTAAAATAATTTATGCTAGAAATCTCAACAACAACGTGACAAAATTTAAAAAATACAACTTTCAACAGAATACTCAGGACATTCGGTTAGTATTTTTTTAAATACTCTAGAAATTTCATTTAGTATTTTTTGAACCAATAGAATTAGTTGTTCGTAGATTTGGCGGGTTTTTTGTGTTCGCGAATATTCTTTTTTTATTTTTGCGCAGTAAGATATTTGAGAACATTCAAGTTTATGTATGTTTCCATGTAAGTCTGTAAAACAAAGTTTACGATAAAATAAACTTATTTTTTTGTTCTCTTTTTTTAAATGTTCTTAAAACGACTAAAAAATCTGGCCGGTTTTTCGCAACTAAATATTATTACCGTGGTCAGTTATCGAGTGCAATCGCACCCGCTTCCCGACCAAGCCTGATTACTGCAATCCTTTTTTGCAGTAAATAAATGAATTTTGTTGTTTAAAATTGTGGATTTTAAGTCCTGAATTTAAATCCATAAGCCATAGCAAGCTTTAGGCTGTTACAGAAGAGAGATCAGATTTAAAATTGGCTGTTCGTTCTAAGCAATTAAAAAGTGAAGACTTTTTGTCAAGACAAGAGTATAAAGTTAAATCATCAGCAAATAGAGCCACTTTATATTTCATTATGACTGTTGTTGTAAATAAAAATATTACAGGAGCAAATATAGAACCTTGTAGTAGCCTTAAAATTACTTGAAATAAAGAAGAAGGCAGACCTTCAAGAATAACTTTACTACTACACTTAAAAAGAAAAAATTTAATAACCTTAAAACCTTTACATAGAAACTAATAACAGAGTGAAGAGTCATCGTAAAAGTTGAGTAAAAATTGTAAAGAGTTTTGGAGAACACTTTTTTAAGACTATGATGGAAATCTTTTCTGAAGCACAAACTGTATGAGTGTTTAATTGAGAATTAATTTTAGTAATGAAAGCCAGAGTAAGTTTGATGTTTAAGAATCGATTATTTTTATAACTGTCAGGAAGAGTATGGCGTTATATTCAAGAGTCAAACTAGAGTAAAATTTCTTTGTAAATAGCCCTGCTTTACTCTGGGGTAAAGTAAAAAGAATAGACCCATGAATTAGAGAATAAACGTTAGACTTTTTTATTTATTTGTCATTAAAAAAAAAGAATACAATGCCGTGTTATATAAATAAAATCTACATGACCGGGGCTAAAAGAAGACAATATTTGCCTTATCGCTTCACCCCGATTTTAGTTAATGACGGTTAATGACACTGTTGAAAACTAACCAAAAGTCTCTAGAACCTAGCATCTAAGATAAGATACAAGGTTTAGTAAACTGAGAATATCAGAGATTTGCATCAGACAGAACTTTATTTACACATTAGCTTAGTGCAATAATAAAAAGGACAATTTGTTCTTAAAAGAGATGTTCTTATAAAAAAGATGAAAAAAGTAATTAATGTTTAAAGATGTAGAATAGAATGAGGCTTGATTTAAAACTGAAGAAAGCTTCCAAACTTTTATTTCAGAAGCAATATAAGCTTCCAAGATGTACTTTTTGCACACATATTATAGATATAGACATCTCTGTTTGCTATTTGTTTATATGCTGGCATACGATATTCTTTCATTGTTCTATAAATTTTAGTATTTATATGGTGTAGTATTTGCCGAAAGAGAATTTGATTAGATGGATGTGTGGTGTGACTCTAACAAGTCATAAAAAAAAGGCATAGTTTTAGATAGATTAGGAAAAACGTTGTATCAAACAACATTTTTTTTAGAAAAGGTTTTAAGAAATTTAGATATCAACATGTAGAGTGGTAGCAGCTTCAGTATAAAATGGTTGTGGTAGAATTAAGACAATTTGAAGAGTGTGCCTTACATATTGTACAAATAGGCTTTAGTTAGGAAAAAAAGTGCACTAGATTGTTTATATTAGAGAAACAGCTTAAAAGAGGAAGGCTAAAGCCTAAAGGTGATGATGATGATAATAATAAAGATGATGATCATGATGATCATCATCGTCATAATTTTCATTATCATCGCCAAGTTTTTTGCTTTTATGCTGTTGATGATAATAATTATCATGATAATGATGATTATGATAATGATGATCCTGATAATGATGATGATGATGAGGGTGATGATGATGATAATAATGATTAAGATGATCATGTTGATCACAATGATGTTCATGTATGCCTATATATACAAAATATAACTTGAATTTTAAATTTAAATAAATATACTTTAGGATGTATAAACGTTTATGCAGCCTCGGTCACAAACCTGGCCCTGGCTATATTTTATCAAACCCAGCCCTAGCCTCGGTCAAACATCAACCGTGGTTGTTTATATATATATATATATATATATATATATATATATATATATATATATATATATATATATATATATATATATATATATATATATATATATATATATTACTGCTAGATGCCGCATAAGGTCGACGCTGTGTAAAATGCTGTGTAAGGGCGACTTACAAAAAAATTTAGTTTTGATTTTAAATCACATATTTAACACAAGCATATTGTATAAAATGTATGCATTATTTTTTATTTTGATTTTAAGCATGTTAGAGGATTAAAATATTTAAACAAATTTGAACTGTCGCCTTTAATTTTTGAGTTAAAAGACGGCTGTCGCCTTTAATTTTTTACCGTTAAAATGGTTATAAAGGCGACAGTTATTGTTTTTGTTAAAATTGCCAACTATTTAAAAAAATTTTATGTATTAACTATTTTGCAAAAAAAAATCAACTATTTTGGCCTGCTTTACTAATGTTAGAACACTAAACTTGCACAATCTATTTATACAATAATTGTTTAAATAGGTTATGTTCAAACATGCTTAGAACATGCCAAAATAGTTGATTAAATTTCCGGCATATGCCAAAAATAGCTGATAGTTTTGGCAAAAAAAAAAAAATTAAAGGCGACATGTTGCCTTGAATTTGTATTAAATAATACAAATTAAAGGCGACATGTTGCCTTTAATTTGTATTAATCAAAAGAAATTAAAGGCGATATATTGCCTTTAATTAGTATTAAATAATAGAAATTAAAGGCGACATGTTGCCTTGAATTTGTATTAAATAATACGAATTAAAGGCGACATCTGGCCTTTAATTTTTTGTTTTGTTTTTGTTAATTTCTTTAATTGAATCCCCATGTCACCTTTGTGAACTTATTGCTAAAAAGGAAAAAAATTATAAATAATGCTAAAATTAATAATCGATCGTTTTTAGATTTGCCATAGTTTATATAATCAATATTTTATCGTATTTTGTCTTATTTCAAAGGCTTCAACGTTGTATGCATCATTTTTTTTGTCGCTGTTTTTTAAACATTTATTTGTTCATTATTAGGAATGGGGAAGCCATGTTTTAGCCAAGTCCCGCTTATGCCTTTTTTAAGAAGCAAAAAAGAACAAATTTAAACACGTTTAAGTATTAAAATATCTTTAAACATTAATTTATGAGTATTCGGCATAGCTAAGGTGATTATCAAATTATTTCAATTTTTTTATTTAAAACTAGCGTGATTTTATAAGCATATTATGTCCAAACAGAAGCCTTAAATGTTATAATATTTTTTGCTTCAGGTTCTTTCAATATTTGAAGATTTCTCTTTTTTATACAATTTCAGAACCTTTTTACTACCCGTAATAGTGAATCTAAAGAACACCATTTTGGAGTCTTTAAATCAATTCCGTTCATCAAGGTTAACATGAAATGAGTTAAAATCTTTTAAAAAAATTCCTCAAATTACTAAAGATCTTAATTCTAATCGGTTCTGACAAATATTAGCTATATAAAGTTGTCAAAATACAATATTTCTATCAATTTTTACAAAAAATACTAGAATTCCGACCAAGGAAGAGCTTTTAATTAAGAAAAAGCGCCAATAAGCAATCAGAACAGATCATATTACTAAACTATGTTCATTTTACCTATTTATTTAAAATCTTATTCAAATTTGAACAGGAGATTGGGGTTTTAAGAACATTTGAAAAAAAAAAAAGAATTTGAGGTCTAGTTTTTTTTACAACAAATATTTTTTATTTTATGATACCGCAAAATTTATCATATTAATTTTTTTCGTCTTTTATAATTCGCAGACCTGATCATTTAAAAGAAATATGTAATAGTCAACAAAATATCATACAGACACTATAATATTTTAAAACTACCTTAACTACACCGAGTAGCAAGGCGGTTGTATAAAAAAAATATTTGTTTATAAAAAAATCTCCTCAGTAAAATAAGTTTTTACAGATAATTATATTTGATTTAATGAAATTCTACTGTTGCAAATTTAATTCATTTAGATGTTTTTGAGTAAGTCGTCTTTCTTTAACACGTTCATTTGTTAGTTTAGTTCGAACTGTTTTATACGACAATCCGATGCCACTTTCTTTAACAAATTTTCGGAGAGTTTTTTGATCTAAAAAAATAATTATTAAAACTAGTTTCGTGTAACCATGTGTTCATAAACATAATTAACAGTATTTCGCAAATAGAAAATTAATACTTTGAATTATATCTACTCACCAGGCATAGCGTCACGCTCAATCTCTTTAGAAAACCTCTCAAGTAATAGTTTCTCAGTTCTTGAATTCCAGCAATGATAAGGTAAGCTTACTATAAAATTTATAGTTTAAGTCATCTACTACTCTTTTTATATATCATTGGGTCAATTTTCTTATATTATACTATTAAACTGATAAACTGACATTGAAAAGAAAGAATCGTTCAACTTTTAGCTACAGCATGCAACTTTTACTTTCAGACTTACTGACTTAAATGACAACAAACTAAAATTATGTTGTAAATATCTAAAATATACCTGATTTTAATTCTTCGTCGTCTGATACAGAACTAATTTCTTTTAAAGGGTCAAAACATTCGTCAGAAGAACATTCCATGTTGGTGTCAGAAGAACATTCCATGATGGTTTCCGAATCCACTGCATTTTTATTTTTATCTTAAGAACCCACTGCATATTTGCGATTAAAATTTTTTCTTAATGGATAGGTTTTAGCTAAAAGTTAAAGTGAATATTATAAAAAAAAGTTGCAAAATCAATTTACTAAAACTTTTCTTTATCTATTTTGTTTAAACAGTTTTTCGAGACAATGCCATACCACTTTCTTTAACAAATTATTGGAGAGTTTTTTGATCTGTAAATATATTCATTTAAACTAGTTTTGTTTATGTGTTTAATAAATTTAAACATAATTAACATGTGTTCAATAAACATAATTAACAGTATTTTGCAAATAAAAAATTAATATTTTGAATTATATCTATAATTCAAAATATTATATCTAATATTTTCAAATATAGTAAAGATACTCACTATGCCTGGTGAGTAGATAAAGACAGCTTTAGTAAATTGATTTTAAATCAAATAGCTGAAATATAAATGATTTCTAACTAAATTCATTTATGTTGGTAACAATAGAAATGGCACTAAATAAAAATTTTTTTCAAGCGAACATACCTACAGTGACCACATTTCTTTTCTTTTCTTCTTTTTTTGTTTGTTTGGTTTTTAGCAACTGTTTTTGCTAAATTCAGTTAAAAGTAGAAACTCATACTTTAAACCTTTACTAAAAAAAACTTTTGAAACCAATATAAACATTCCATAATATTGAAAAATTTAAACTTTACTTACACAAATCAAAGTTTAGAAGATGTTTTCCAACTTTAACAATTTCCATTAAGGCAGGAGGAACTTGATAAGTGCCTTCATTGACAGCAGCTGATTGACCCATGTGTTTGTAAAACAACTCCTTGTCTTTTTTTGGCAAATCTAGAGCTGAGAAAAGAGTACTAACACGATGACGGTTCGAAGTCGCTTTTATATTTTCGGGCTTCTTTAACTTAAGATTATTTATAATATTATGAACTGCATGCCATCCTGAAGTGTGCCCTTCAGATAATTTTGTCCCAGCAAATAAAAAAGTGTTACTCTTTAAAACATTAACAAAACTACGTACATTAGGATCAGCCAGTTTTTTTAACGCTGGCATAGTATCTGGTGGAATAAGAATTGGGACCAAATGGTTATTGCCTTTTCCACACATGTAAGTTATTTTGAGATACTAATCTTTGATCCATTTCATCAAGTTCAGAAAGTCTTTGATTGTCAATCCATGAATCATTAACTGCATCATTGTACTTATCAATTTGCAATCGAGCTGCCTCTCCTCCTAAAAAGTAAATTAGATTAGTTTTTATAGAACATTCAAACTAAAACTATAACTTTAATGGACAGTGACAATGGAAAGTGAGTCTAAAGCATAAAAAGTTTGAAACAATTTTCACAAAAAAGATTCAAAACCAAACCTCTTCGCCTATTTAACAAAGTCAATCTTGCACATGCACAGTCTCGCAGCTCAACAAAACTTGATATATCAAAAAAATCATAAGACTCGTCTGTAAGGTCTTTTATTCTTTTTAAAATATGCTGTCTAAACGCATATATATCTTCTTCATCAGGTAACTGTGATGGTTTTCGCAATTTTATATTTTTATTTTTGTTCAGTTCATAGGTAGCATCACCGAATATGTAGTCTTCCCACATTTCAAGAATGCTTACAAATTTATCAATTTCACTGGAAAGAATATCTTGACCTTGAGCCAGAAATAAACCTTTCAATACTTTTGCTGAGCGTTTAAGTAAATAAAATAAATTTTGCTTTAATCCTGCTTTTAAAGTAAAAGTATCGGATGTAGTATATATCTCTATTGCCTCTCTCAAAGCATAAAAATTAACACAAGTGAACATATCGTGAAGACTTTTAAAAATTATTGTTACTTGTTTTTGTTGCAGAAATATAACATACAAGTTCGCCAATCGTCTCATATCAGTACATACTGAGTTTCTGACAGCGATAGCTTTTCCGAACTTACGCTTTTCTTTATTAAAAAACATACTCCCAATACTCAGTATCATAGGGTCTGAGCAACAAATCTGTCCTATATTATCAGTTTTAAATGTTGCCAAAATTTTTGTGCGAAAAGCTTCACTAATATTTACATTGTCTGGAACCTGTAAGACTCTTACAGGTATAGGAATAATTGTTTAGCAAGAATTTTTTTGACACCTTTTGACATGGCTATGCCAATATCTTCTAGAGGCAAACATTAAGCATTTGCTGCAATAACTTATACCACTTTCAACTTTAGCTGAGCGTTCTCTTTCATATTGTGGATTCTCTTTTCTAGCCTCTATCTGGTTAATTTCAAAAATTCCTTGTCTTTTTAGCTTTTGAAAAACAAATCGTTGTTCCTCCTTAGGCAAAGACAATGCTTTAAAAATATCAGGTTCATTTTTATGCTTTGTTTTTATGTGGCGTTTTAAATAAGACGAGTACTTTTTACAAAAAATACAAAATCTGTAGGGTTTCTTTTTCTTATTTTGTTTTGTAATCTAAAAACAAATACTGTGATTGGTAAAAAAAATCAGGTTAAATAGAATAAAAGTAAAATATATTACTTACAGCTTCTAAATTAGTGAAAATTTCTTGATTGGTTTGATTGTTGAAACTAATATCTGTCTCTATTATACTAATATCTGAGTCAAGACAAAGTGCAGAGTCATTTTCGACATCTATCTAAAAAGATTACCTTAATTCTTATTATTTCACAACACATCTGAATACTGCACTACAACAACACAACAAATCAAAACAAAAACATCAGTTCAGGTTTTTAACACAAACATTTTTAATGTACAACAATATTTACAGACTGATAAGATTTATTAAAAATAAAAATGTCGAATGATAAATACATCTTGAAATATATTTAACTTTGTTTAGCTGTTTTTATTATTAAGTTAGTTGTATCAGATTTATAAATATATATATATTTTTTAGATCAATAAATAAATAGATAAATTTTTAAAATTCTAAATTTCAAATTTTAACGTTATATGTAAGATCACAAAACAGTTTTACCTGATTCGGTAGACCTTTATTTACCACAAAATCAACACTCTTAAAAAAAATTAAATGCATTTACAAGATATAAAAAAACAATTATAAAAGCTTAAGTTAAATAATATGCAAACAGAAAATATAACAAACATACAGTTTCACTACAAACTGAAGAAGTTTTGTATAATTAACCGAAGGTTTCAGATAAAGCTGGATACATTTTAAGTGAATAAAATTGGCTTAAAATAAAATGTAAACACTAGTTTAAAAAATAAAAAACATTTGAATATATCTGTGATATATGAAAAATAAACTTACTCAAAAGACAAGTCTAAAACTGATCTATGACCATTAAAACCTCCAACATAACTAAAAACTGTTGACTATCATAAAAGAAAAAATTCTTTGAAAGCAACTGCTAAAATATTTCTTAACAAACATAATAAAAAAAAAGAGAAAAAAAAAAAGTATAAAAGTAACATATAAATACTTCTGTATCTTCTTCAGTTCCAAAGCAGTTATTACTTGTGATATCCTGTGAAATATAAATATTTTAAGTACTAACATAAAAAACAAAATTAAAGCTCTTAAAAAAAATTAAATGCATTCACCAGATATAAAAAAGCAATTATAAAAGCAAAAGTTAAATAATATGCAAACAGAAAATATAACAAACATACAGTTTCACTACAAACTGAAGAAGTTTTGTATAATTGACCGAAAGTTTCAGATAAAGCTGGATACATTTCAAGTGAATAAAATTGGCTTAAAATAAAATGTAAACATTTGTTAAAAAAATAAAAAACATTTCAATATATCTGTGATATATGAAAAATAAACTTACTCAAAAGACAAGTCTAAAACTGATCTATGACCATTAAAATCTCCAACATAACTAAAAACTGTTGACTATCATAAAAGAAAAAATACTTTGCAAGCAGCTGTTAAAACATTTCTTAACAAACATAATAAAATAAAAAAGACAAAAAAAAGTATAAAAGTAACATATAAATACTTCTGTATCTTCTTCAGTTTCAAAGCAGTTGTCACTCGTGATATCCTATGAAATATAAATATTTTAAATACTAACATAAAAAACAAGCACTCATTTTGCAGAGTCATACAGTCATTATATAATTAAACAACCCTAGATATTAATGCTCCTTTGATAATAAAATAATATTAATAAAACCTTGCATGTTTATTTCATTTTCAATAATAAAAAAATATCTATAAAATGTAAACTTTAAAATAACTGAAAAAATCTCACTATTACAAAATCCATTATCTGGGTTAATGTCTCCCTCCACTAAATCACAATAAACAGTAACCAATATTTTTTTAACTGTCTTAGATTTCATAACTATTAATAAAATTGTTATAACTATTATTAAAAGGCTAAAAACATACCACAGAAATAGTTGGTCGCAAAGAAGGATTATCTCCCCAACCTTGTTGAATGAAACTTATAAATTTATGGACATTTATATTTTCTTTACCATAAAGTGTTAACAGGTGATTAACATTTGGTCGTTTACCAGATACTACAGCATTCATTAAAAGAATATCTTTTAGAACAGGAATAATGCCATGCCAAGCTGATGAAAAATTACTAATTATCTCAAATGCAGTGATTGCAAATTCATAGATATTCGATTTTTCATTTGGAGCTTTAACTTCACATTTAATAATTTCAGGAGATGTATAAGCTAAAGTCATGCCATTTATATTTTGTTTTGTCATAGTCAAAGCTATTGTTTCTTTAATGTCTACAAAATCATCAAAATCACTAACTTTAATTATTATATCTTTTGAAGTACCAGTAACAAGTAGATTAGAAGGTTTAATGTCTCTATGAATAATCCCACATTCATGTAAGTACATAATACCATTTGATGACTGATGGATAAAATTCAATCTCTGGGAAAAAGAAAAATTGTTTTCTTCATTTAAATGAGAAATTAGTTGGGACAAACTTGATACCTGATTATTGGAAATATCTAAACAGCATAACTCAAATATAAGGGCAGTTGGTCTTATGGAATAGCCTTTAAACTTTACAATGTTTTTGTGTTTTAACTGCCTGAGTTTAGTTGCAATAGAAACAATTTTGCGTTGCGAAAACTGTGTCTTTATTACTTTTACTGCTGTTTGCTTATTTCTTAAAGGCAAATTAAAGATATTTGCAGAAAATCCTTCTCCAATTTTATCACTAAAGTTTAATGGCAACTCAAAAACTTCATAAAGACTAATACTTTTTGTCATACTTTTTTCTATTATAAACAAAAAAGATGCATACATTAAATGAAAAAGCAGAAAGAAATTCAGAAAAAAACTGCAGGAAAAAGGAACTAAACACAAAAAAAAAAATCATGCATATATAATTCATGCAAATATAGCACACATATACAACACTTGCATTTATAAAACATGCTTTTAAATGCACGATTAAACAACATATATGTTTAATATATATGTACATATATACATGATTCATGTATTAAACATGTATAAGTTATATATTATATAACTCGTATGAGTTCAAAAAACAAAAAAGGACTTATGCATTATACATGTATGATCATACATATATAATGCATAAGACTTCTTTTTTTTTGAAAAGCTAAATCCTTATTAGGATTATTAAGACCGTAAAAGAATAAAAGCCTTTTTGTTTATTATTATTTGCTTCTATTAACTTTTTATATCATTTTATTATTATCCTTAAATTAACAATAAACAATACTTTTATTATAAATTATTTATTACATAGTGTACATTATTAATAGATGCAGGTCAGGCTAGGCGCTAATTTACATCTCTACCCCCCTATTTTTATTTTTGATTATGATAGAGAATTTCATCCTGATTAAGAATCGTATAAAAACATAGGTCTGAAAATTAACAAAAAGTGCTCTAATTCGATGTTGAAGTTTAAAAAATTACACTAAAAAACGCTAATATTCGCCATTTTTTAAAAACGTTTTGTATTTTTTATAAACGTTATGTATATATATATGTATAAATATATATATATATATATATATATATATATATATATATATATATATATATATATATATATATATATATATATATATATATATATATATATATATATATATATATATATATATATATATATATATATATATATAATATATATATATATATATATATATATATATATATATATATATATATATATATATATATATATATTTTTTTTTTTTAATTTTATTTTTGTTTACTTAATTTTTACTTTTTAAATTTAATATTGACCATACTAATTCAATAACATTTTTTTAAACATTTGTTATCAGACTGCTAATGATACAATTTTTTGCTTTTTTATTTAGATTCTGTATCTCAATGATATATGATATCCTCTAAATCCACACATGTAATCTTAAAAAAAAAGTTTATATTTTTATTTATATATCTATAAATTGTATATTTTATATAAATAAATATTTTTATATTTTTCATTGGATATTACTGTTTGTATTAAAAATCGATTTTGGATATATTGCAAGTGCAGAGTTCAACATACAATTTTTTTCTGCCTATTCAATATATATTTTAGCCAATTTAAATTGCGTTTTATAATATTTTACGATATTTTCTCTAGCGCATTTAAGCGTTGATTCAACGTTATGTTTCAACCTTTACTCGACGTCTTTCAGTCACGTTAAATCGACGTTTTACTACCAACGTTACAAATCCTTGCAAAATCGACTGCTTTAACAATGTTAAAGTAACGCTTTTCAAGTAACGTTTTTTCAAGGTTAAGTTGCAATGGCTATGCAACGCTTTTTAAGTAACGCTTTTTCAACGTTTAGTTGCGACGTTCTTGTAACGTCTTTTAGTAACGTTTTTTCAACGTCACGCTACAACGTGACGTTGTATATCTTGGTATAATCAACTGTATCATCTAAAAAAAAACTTACACGAGTTAACAGTATGCTTTCTCTAATTCGTTACTATGTTCATGTCCAAACTCTTCGAACGATTTTTATTTTTCTTTATTCTCTTCTCACCTTTGCTATTGTTGTATTGTTTGGGGTCAAAAAAGAAACTTTTTACTTAATAACATTGCTAGTTTACAACGCGCATCTATTAGAATCATGACGTTTTTCCCAATGAGATCTGATATCGAAAAAAAATTTTCTTAACTAAAAATCCTAAAACTCCATAATCCTGTAAAGTTTTACAATTGTCTTTTTGCGTTTGACTTTCTCCAAAATAAACTACCAAGCCCTTTTTCAAATTTTTTTTATTAAAACAAACGAAGTTCATAATCATTACACCAGGAATACAGAAAATAGTAAGCTATACTATTTTTTTTTTAACACAATCAAATATGGTAAGTTTTCCATAAAACAACAATGCATTTCTCAATGGAACCAGTGTATTCCTGCATTAATAAAAAAGTCTAAGAAAAAATATCCACATGTTACGAATTTTTTACTGCTCAACAAAATTCATTTTAAATAGATATTGTTGGAGTGTATTTCTTTTTAACTTCTCTCTGTACTGTAGTTGTCTTCAATATATAATCTCTTTAACGAACAAGTGGTTTGATTTTTATTTTATTTATTATTTATATTTATTTATTATTGTGTTATTAATGTTATATTTTATGTTATTATTATCATTTATTATTTGTACATACAATTTATATTGTCTTATAATATTCTTAATATTATTGGTACTTTAATATTATTGTTATTATTTTGTATTATTACTATTATTATTACATATATCATTTTTATTTGTTTAACAATCTTTTCTTCTTTTCTCTCTTATTTATATATACAGATGTTGAGTTGTAACTATATGAGTGACACCTAACCAATTTATATTAATTTACGATGAAATTTGTAAATTTTATTTATATGGTTAAATAAAAAAAAATAAAAAAAAAAACGTTTAATCAACGTCTTTTCAACAACGTTATATATCTTTGCAAAATCGATTACTTTATCATTATTTCCGCAACATCTTTTGCCACCGGTTTTCGACGTTTATTCAACGCTGAAATGTTTGCTGGGTAGTGACAAGTTCCTTATACTCCTTCTAATATATTTTAAGAACAGAAATAAGTAACTTGTGTATAAGTCGGATTTCCGGTCATAAAGTTAGAACTTACTTTTGCTGCTTTCACAAAAATTCGGAAGGAGCCTTGTTTAATGGATGCCTTAAAGAATCTGCAATGAATTTCTTTAATGATATTATAAGAGTCTTTCACAAAATATCCATCTGGGTAAAAATTTCTCAAAAAACAAGGGGTTGCACCCTGCATCATCAAATTCGCTGAAATTTGACACAAATGTTTAAAGATATAAGTTTGGAAAGACTGTAAAATTTTTTCAAAAAATTCTCAACCCTTTAAGATTTACAGCAACTTGAAGTTAGTCATTTTTTGACTGAAAAAAGAGTGGGGATAAAGGCGGAAATATGTCAATTTACCATTACCCTTTTAACAAACTTGTAGTAATGTTGCGAAACTAAAACTTGGTACCAAAGGAGTTTAAAACCTGCGGAATCTGAAAATTATAAACTTATATCTCTAAAAACAATAAAATATAGTTTATTTTTAGATCCGCAAAACGCACTTGTTAATGACAATAAAAAAGGCCATTGACAACTAGGGTTCTAGAAAAAATCTGACTGATGAAAAAAAGTTTTGGTTTTCGTTATTTTAAATAATAAACACATATCTACTTTGCGAACCAATTTTCATTTGGCCTTATGTTTTATCAAGGAGTTATTGATGTTTTAGTTTTTCAATTTTTCTAATGATATTTTGCAAAAAAAAAAAAATTTGCAAATATATTTTGAATACAAATACAATTATTTTTGCTTTGTAATAGCTTTGTAAAAAATTTACAAAGTTATTACAAAACAGAGTTGAACATTTTATAAATTTGTTTCTTTTTACTTTCATTACATAATAATAATGTCATTTTCATTACATAATATCATGTCATTAAATTTAACGATATTATGTAACTTTTGTTGTTAATTGTTTTGTTGTAATAAAACATTTTTTATTATCAATAAAAAAAGTAATAAAATAATATAATAATGTCTAATTAATATTACCATGTTAAGTTACATAACTAAATAAAATTATATTTAGTTATCTTTTACTTTTACACAACTTTTTAAAAGTAGTTAATGGAAAATTTACAATAATTAGTAGATAGTTAGGCATTTAAAATATGTTTACTAAACTAATAGCTACTTGTTCAAGCAATATGTTCTTTATAAATTCATATTGATATGATATTGTTTGTGTTCAAGTGTATTTTTCTTGTTAGGGACATTAAGATTATTTAAGATTTATTGTATAAAGTGTTTAGACAGAGATTCCTCATTATATTTTTATATGGATATCAAAATTAATTGCTGCTTTGTAATATACTCAAAATCATATACTCAAGAAAGAAATCTGATTAAAGATATTGACAGCAATGATCGTAAGCTACTTAAAAAAAGAACAAACCTGAAACAAGACCAAATAACTAATATATGCACACACCATCTCATATGTAAGATATGAGGGTAATCAGAAAAGTTGCTGTAATCCATTTGTGAGTCACCAAAAGGTGTGTAGAGGTGAAAATTTATATATTTATGTTTCATTAGGTAATATCATTATTAATAAGCCATATGAGTTTTTTTGGTAATAAGATTTGCTCAATGTTTCATAGTTATTAATATAACAAATTGTATAGTAATATAATTACATAATATATATATATATATAATTAATGTTATTTAAGTAATGTAATTACTTTCTTTTTAAGCATCTCTACGTGTGATTACAATGCATACTGTGTTAGAAGTAGAAACCATAGGTTTAAATCTTATACGTGGAAAAAAACTGTGTCCAACCTGTCGAAGTAAAGTTATGACATGTTTATCAAAAAGTATAAGTGAAAATAAAAATGATGAAGATTTTGATATTGTTAATGAAAGATCCATTTAAAATAAAAAAGAAAGTGCAGATACACACTTTGCATCTGCCGGAGTATCTCCAATTAAGGTCAAAGGATTGCACAAGTCAGGTAAAATCAGAGAAGATAAACGAAAATTGACAGCATTAACAATCTCCATTAAAAAAAGGTAGCCATTTCCCTTAATATATCAGAAGAAAGTTTTGAAGAACAGTTAAGTTTTAATAATGAGTATATGGAAAAAGCAAACTTGTTTGATAACATGATTGTATTGTTAACTAGCAAAATTACAGAGTCTAC